AAGAGGAATCGAAATATCGCGTCAAGCAGATGCTGAGAGTAACAGTTGAACGGGAAGTTGAAGTGGACCTGCACGTGTCGTTCTAATGACTGGTATTCCGTGTTCTGGCGGGTGCTTCAGTTGGCCTTCCTACTGTACGTTTGAATGCATCTTCTTGTACTTCCATGCTTGCGGACTTGCGCTGAAATTTCGAACTCTGAGTAGGAACTCATTCGTCTTGGACAAACATTCGAGAGCCTGTACAGTGCAGCACGGGGCGGCACTCCGGAACCTGAAGGCTTGTCATGAATGCTGAATTTCAGAACCAACGAAGTTGAAGATAGGTTCGAAACTCTTAATTAGGATCGGAAAATGTCCCCGCTGCCCGAAACGCACTAAAAACACACCTTCAGTGTCGTAAACTAATGTTCCCGCTGCCCAAAACGCAGAAGTGTACGTACAGTAGGTGGGAGCACATACCTGCTCAAAGCGCACGCAGGATACTTCGTATTCTTAATGAGATATCGGGCTTGTGTTTACTGTTCATCACTTTTGATTCACCCAAAATTGAGCCAAGACCATGCCAAGGACAGACCAAACATCTTTCTTTGGCATTTTATTCTCGTCAACAGCTGCAATTTCTCTTGGCTTCTGCTTTAGGCAGTAAAAAGCTGTTGAGTTGAACAGCAGTTGTAGCTCGTAAGGCGTCGCATCGTTGAGAGAACCTGACTCCAGAAAACTGTGCCGCAGATGGCCAACGTACGTTGCTTTCCGGAGCGTAGCGGAGGCATTTCTTGTGCAAATGAGTGAAAGACGAGGTGTGAACCACTGTTGTAGGACGCTCTTCAAAATTTGCGGTGATAGAAGTTGGAAAAAACATCTTCACTCACCGTCACAAGACCTGATCCCGAGTCGAACGGGTGTTCTGCAACAATCTCGCGGCTGCGCTCAAAGTTAATGCAGGTGCGTCCAGACGCCAACAGGTCTGATTCCATTGGAAGAGGGGAGCCTGATATACCTCGGTAGGCAAATAAGTAAGTACTTGCTTGAGAGATGTTCGGTTGCGAAATCGAATATATTGAGTACCTGAAACAGGGAAGTGTTAGGTTGAGGATGTATAACCGGAGACAAAGGCGCGCGGGCAAATAAAGGAGGTAGTACAAATAAAGGGAAGAACGGTTGGACTGGTCGGAATGAAGAATTAGGAACGAGAGGGTAGGAACGAGGATGGAAATGGAATAACGAAGCAGAGATAGAAAGGGATATAATGCAGGGGAAGGAAGAACGAGTGGGAATTGGTTTTTGGGAGGAGGCTGGGCGACGAGAACGTTAATGAGATGGTGCAGGATGAGAATACCCGCGCCTGTCAATGATGGTACGACCGTGACCCGGCGATGACAAAAGAGCAGACCGAACGACGACCTAAGAGCGGCGCACGGCATCGAGGACACGAGGACCTGCGGCGCGCTCTTCCTTGAAACCAAATAGGCTGCCCTGATGACTCCGCGCCCTGGATTGCAGCCTTCTAAGAAAGGCCAAACTTCTGCTGCAAAATGGAATCAGAAAAAATAGACTGCGCCTGTGGGGGCAGAACGTACGCCGCGTTTCCTGAATGCGATCCCGGTGTCGACTGCGGACGGTAGAGACGGGGCCGGCACATCGAGCAGGGTTGAAGAGTTGAGATAGAAGCGAGCTGCCAGAAACAGCGGCTGGAACCCCGAAAATCAGTAAACAGCGAGCTAAGAAAGACGCACTTTCGTCGATACCATTGACCCGATCCACCCGTAGACACCCGTAGACATAGGCTCTGCGCTGCACGCGGGGGAGGACTGCAGAGAGAGAAAGGCAACCCGTAGTGCGTGGTAGTCCACGCCCGCCGCAGCCGCCGTCAGGTCGAAACGTGGGTTGATCGCGACGCAGGACCTCGTCGTGGGAGTGGTGAAGCTAGAACTCGGAGCAGTATTAAGCCAGGAATTGTACAAGCATACAAACGATGCAACATGATGCGTGCTCATCCAAGCCGAGATACACCTTCCGCGGTACACTGATTGGCTGGGTGTACACATTGATATCTAGATGGATGCGAGGCGTGGGTGGGGGTTCAAACGTTGAAGAGCCTGCGCACGGAGTTGAAGGGCAAGCGGAGGAAGGTATAGATCGTTCAAGAAGGACGCTGTTTGCCTCTAATACGCCGCTCAAGCCTCCTCGACAAAATCCACAACCAGAGATAACAAAAAATGTTGCTGCAGGACCCAATAGGCGGATGCGGGGAGTCGAACCCCATTAGCTGCTGATATGTGTCTACAGAATGGTCTATGTTTGACTGCAGCAATGCACCGTGCGTAACGTCCGCTCTAAATTACAGTTTCAGTGCGTACCAAAGCAGACGAATTTTAATTGGACTCGCCTGGGCGCCGAGTGCCGAGCTTCGATGATGCCCGCAGTACGTGCAGGATGGGGTCTTGCGCCAACACTCGAAGGATTAATTCCTGCGAGAGAGTGAATGGGGCAGTACATTGATTGACGAGGGACAAGACCGCGATGCTGGACGAGCGAAATTGAAGTCCAACGCTTGTGGAAGGTACCAACAGACTGGTATGGGATTTCAGTTCGAGTAGTCACAGTTGGGAACAGGGATGTGATCAAGTTACCGTTGATTTATTACATTATTACAGTGGAGATGAATGAGAGAAGTGGGAATTGGGAATAAAGGAGTGGAACGGGCGGACTAAGGGGGGATGGGCTCACAACCTGGAGTGTGGAATAAGCACCTGTGAAATTAACGGCGGGAATCAGAATGACGAGTGAAATGGTGCAGGAGGGAAGAGGAAAACGGACTGTTAGCAAGAAAATTCTTTGTTAAGTTGCGCATGGGCCGAGAGGGGCGTACTGTATGTGTATCTGTAAACGCGGCGAACGGGGAATTTCATAGATTCGCGATGAGAGTGCGAGGCTGCGCGAGGATGATCGGCGAGCAAATGCATAAGGGGGCAATACACACTGAGCCACTAAGGAGAGAAGACCCGGGCACGGTAGGAGCCCAGGCCACGAATACACGGCACCCCGCACAGATGGCGGGGAAGGGCCGCGGAGGGCAGGACTGCATAAAGTCCGCTCCAAAATGCGATCAGAAAAGTTGAGATGAGGGTGTTTGTTGGATTGGAACATTACGCTGCGTATCCCCCGCGTTGAGTTCAATCCCCGAGCGCCTCCAACGAACGGGAGGGCCGGAAAGGCAATGAGGCACAGAGCAAGCGAGGAGAATCGATGGAGCTGAGAATGTAAGGAGCGAGGTGGGAGAGTCCGTCCGCAACCGAGCTGGGAGAATCGGTTGGCGAGCGCACAAAGAGAATCCGATACCATGAGAAAGCGCCAGTGGAAGCGCCGAGCAGGAGGCCCGGACGGCAGAAGAGTCTTGTGAATATCAAGGACGGGCACGTCGCATCGAGCGAGCTAGGAGAGTCGACCGGTGGCAATTGGTGGCTGTACGTGAGATAATCAGCGAATCCGAAGACCATAAACCTTCGTCGGCGTTTCTATCGAACCTGCTATGTAGTACCAACCCGCCGTAGCCACATCGAGGACGGAATATGGGGTCAATCGCGACGCAAAGCCATCCTTCGAGAGTGAAAAATGCGAATAGAACGACAAAAAGCTTCAGAGACAGACTTTGAATCCTACAGCATATTTTGAACGGGTGAATGTCAGTCGCCAAGCAGCTTTGAATGAACTGCCAGAGGTAAGTAAGTTGTTGGAAGCGAATCAAAGATGACGCATCTCAATCTGCCTCACATTGCATTCTCCTCGAGGGGTTTGCCGCGGACGAGTGGCTGCCCTCGCGGCCAGATGCAGAGAAAATCGGCCGCTAGCAATCGCGCTTGTTGTGATGAGAGCGGAAAGAAAGAGGAAATGTTTGCCCGAGTTGGTCTGCGACGGTTGTTGGCATCAAACACGGGCACGTGGACCTGAATTTTCGCGTCGCGTCCGTCAAAGTGGACCCATCCGCTGGTTGCTTGGAACGAGCTGGTCGTAGAATCATCTTGATCGATCAGCGTTTGCGAGGAGCATTTTGGCCAACTCAAACATCGCATCTCAACGCTTGAAACGTGGTGCGAACACTGGATTATAGGGTGCATAGAAAATACTTGCCCACCGTACGTTGGAACAAATAACAGATGGTGAATCTTCGTCTGTTCCGAAAAGCCACCGAAATCGACGAAGACATCAAAAAGGCAAATAACCAGTGACCCCGTCATGACCTGATCCCGAGTCGAACGGGCTAACTACCTTGCAACGTTCCCGCTTTGGCCTTACATAGAGCAGTCGCGTCCGCACGCCACCAGGTCTGATTTTACCCGAACGTAGGATAAACATGTCCCATTGTACAACAAATCAATGGAGTGCTTTGAACATTCGGTAGAGTGCTCACGGTTGAAATCCGGAAAAGACAACGAACTGAGGAATAGAATGAAATTGCGGTTGCTTCTGGCCATCTTCATACTGCGCAGAAAGGGAGAAAGAAAAAAATTCGAGTCCTTTTGGATATGACCTGATTCCGAATCGAACGGCGGGAATTCTGCATTGCAAGCCTGTGAGGATGCCTGCGAATTGAGGGCAGATGCGTCCACAGGCCATGAGGTCTGTTTCTTCTTGAATGCGGCGTCAATACACGGGAGTAGGCCACACAATTGAGGTACGGTCAAATGTTGACTCTTATCGTGGGACTCCAAATAGTGGAACCTCTTGGGACGGCAGAACAGGGGCAACATAGAGCCACAAGAAATTCGAACAGTGCCCCACACTCGCTCGTTCTGTTCACTCAATCTAGTGCACTCAATCAGAACACTGTTGGTGTAATGAATTCACGACGCACTGACCCACGACCGAGCCGGGGAATTATCAACACGACCTACGGTCACCTATCAACACGACCTACGGTCACCTACCTCGGGAATTATGAAACCAGCTGTGGACTCCATTACCGGAAAAATAAATAAATAGGTTGCCGCCCAATTTCGTCATTCGGACGCGGGGAGTCGAACTCCGTTCACCTGCGAGAATTTCCCTCTTCCATTTGTAACAGGTAGCAGGGGTGCACCCTGCACAACATCCGATGAATTGACCAACGTACACGGAGGCACAGGTGGGAGAATGATTAGGATACTGTCAATACGAAGAGGAAACACGGGTTACGTTCGGACAGGGGGAGTAGTATTATTTTGGGGGATTATCCGTTCTCTTAATCTTTACTGGCTCGTTTGTTGACGCTGATTTACTTGAAGCTGTGAACGTGAACAGCTGTGCATCCCCATTTGCTTCTCTCTGTTCTGTTGCTTTTCATTCCGCGTCAACTGACTCCGCTCGGAGAAATGACCCTCATACGACGTACACGTAGCGCATACGTGGTGTCGACGCTTATCTTTTTAACTGCGTGGCGGCAAAAAAACTGTGCACCTGGACAGCTATTTCAACCATTCTTGGATGGCTTGGGCGGATAGCCGTGCCTCGTGCTTCGCTGTTCAACTGTACCGCAGCACGCCGCAGTGGACTCAAGCTGTTAAACTGCGGGCCTTGGCGCTTCCGTCATGAATAAAAGCAGGCAGCGAACGAGCATCATTTCAGCTGTTCTCATTTGATCCCTCCCTGTCCAGCCTCCTATGCCTGCTGAAATCTCGTGCCTCTTTTGAATTCTACGCTGTCAATCACACCGCAACATCAATCGCTTGACTCAATGATCCAAATGTTGAAACAAAAGCAAAACTCCCTGCGTTGTGGACACATCTGAAGGCTGGTTTGCTTGCCGGGAAGGCCGCTGCTTCTCGGTGTTCTGTGACTATGCGCTTATCTCGGCGCTCTCAGGTCCTGTGCCTAAGTTATCTTTTTTGTGGTCCGCACTGCTAAGAAGCAATCCCTTGCATGATGACCGGCCCCCAAGTTCTCCGCCTGGCTGAACGACTTTTCTCTATTACTGAGGAGTTCCAGATGATCACTTCTGTGATTTATTTCTTCCGCTGAAACTCATCCCACATTTTATTGTAGCTATTCCACCTTCACTGAATTTCTTTCTCCTCCATCCCATTGCCGGAGCGTAGCGCAGGTACGCCTTGTCACCAATCAAGCTATGAAAATCTGCTGATAAAAAGGCCAACTCGCCGTTACGGAATATTGGGAAGCGGGGAGTCGAACCCCGTTCACCTGCGAGAATTTCCCCCTTCCATTTGTAACAGGTAGCAGGGGTGCGCTGTGCACGACATCCGATGAATCGACCAACAGAACCTGAGGATGTTAAGTTTGTGCAGCAAGGAGGATACAGTACAAGAGCAGCGCTCCAAATTACCTCGGTCTCTGAAGTCTCCCTGGCGAATTTCTGTGAAATATGTCTGGGAAATTTGAGCTTAAACGTAGACGCGTTGGAAAACCGCTGCTCACCGCTCACTAGATGCAAAGTTACCTCGGGCAGGATTCGGCCACACTGGACTTGTAGGCTTCGATGGCAGCGTGCGCGGATCTTGCGTCGACGCAGTCGAGTGGCGCGCCAGACTCGAAGCGGGCAGCGAGTTGAAACGGACGAGAGCAACCAAGAAAGCGAAACAGAGTAGCCAAGAAGGGAGAGAAGCGGAGGAAATGAAAAGAGGGAGACACAGTTCTTTGTTCAGATGCGCATGGGCCGGAACGGGGCGTACTGGATATGGGTCAACCCGGCGAACGAGGAATTTATAGATCGGTAATGAGAATGAGACGCTGCGCGATAATCGCCGGCAGTTGACGAACGACATAACACATGAGCGCGGCACGAGCCCAAGCGACGAGTGCCGGGCATCCGCACAGGCAGGTCTCGGCGGTACGAGGCGCCCCGCCGGGAGGATCCAGGGAGACGGGATTATGGTCCGCTCCAAAATGTTGTCAGAAAGACCTGAGATGAGGGTGTTTGTTGGAACGTTGCGACGCGTGTTCTGCGCGTGAAATACATACATCTGAGCGACCGCGAACGGGAGAGCCGGGAAGGAAACGATGTAGGAGCAAGCGAGGAGAATTGAATTAATTGCGCTGAGACCAGGTGGGAGAGTCCGGTCCGCCGCTGAGCTGGGATAATCGGTCGGCACGGGCACGAAGAGAATCTAATCACACGACGGAGAAGCGCAGAGCAGGCAGAGCAGAACGAGCGAGAGAGGGCAGCGGAGTCGTACGGATGGAGACGACGAGTCAATCGAGTTAGGGAGAGTTATGTAGGCGGAAAGCGAGCTGCGGCGTTCGGTGGTTACAAGCGAGACAATGAGTGCTGGAACGGCGAACTTTCATCGGCGGTCCTATTCATTTTATCCACCCGTTTACATACGCCCGGCGGTGCACTCAGGAGGGGACTGCAGAGAGACACTGTCCGGGCTGCGAGTACAGTACACGCCCGCTGCAGCCACAGCCAGGACGGAATGCGGAATGGTTACGACCAAAAAAGACGGTGCGGAAACGATGAGACTGGAAAGCAGTGCAAGGAAGCATAGGTAAGGAAGGGCGAAGGAAAGGCTGGTACATGACGCGCCTACACCTCCGACCGAGGACGCCATCTTTGAGTAAGTGTCGATCGCCCAAAAGCGGCTTTGAGTGAATGTGAGGCCGGGGTGCAAGTAGGAGAGTGAGCGCACCAGGATTGAGAGGAAGTCGAGGAGATGTGGAATCCAGGCGATGGCCGCGCACGTAGCGAGACTACCTGCGCGGATAGTGAGTGCTCAAGCATGGACAGGAAGGGAATTGGTGAAAGCGAGGGGCGACGTCAATCTGTTTCGCTTCGCAGTATCCTCCCGCCCTGAGGCGGCTCTTTCCCATATCCTCCCCCTTACCCTCGAGGTTGTGCATCGTGCAGGGCGAAAAGACAGTGCGTCGGGGACGAGTGGGCTGATCCCATAACGAGATGCGGAGGAGATGGGGCACGGAATATATTGTGTACCAGGTGCATTTGCGCGACGAGTCAAGTCAGGAGGCGGAGCGAATGCACTTTGCATTTGCCGTTTGTCCACCAGCCAGAACACGGCGTAGATTTGGGCTTCGAGCTGGCGCCTGTGTTCGCGTGACACAGCGACGGAGCGCACTTGGAAGCGCTCCTCGCTCGCGTGGTCCTTCTCACTGCAGAATCTCTCCGCCTCCCCGCGTCACCAGAACCAGAAGACGCCCATGGTTACGCTCGAGGAAGTGGACGACGAGGGGGAAAGAGGGCAAGGGGGCGGGGCGGCAGGAAGGGGAGGAGATTCAAAACGAGTGGTGGGAGGAGAAAACAGAGATGCGTGACGTCATACATCAGATGCGCTTGCTTTCTCACGCTTTGTGTCTTTGGTTGAGGAAGTATTCTGTGGATACTGCCTCCAAGGCCCGATATCCTATGTGGGTCGGATTCAGGAGTATTTTTGATTCAGTGGTAGGTGCCTTGTCCTCTAAGCGGGTATTTTTTCACCGTGAGGATAACATCAATTTCAGTTTATGACCACCGACAATAATGATGTTCAGCTTTGAACTGCCGTCAATGTCCAAGCTCACCCACCCATAAGTGCTCAAAAGCTGGGACGAGCGACTTGAAATAGATGGTACTAAGCAAGGAAACAAGAAGTAAGTAAAGTACTCGAAATTCTGGTTGTCCTTGAATGCACTATTATCCTTTCAGCTGTTCAACCTGTGTTGATAGTACTGATAGTACTGATACCCATGATGCTGCACCCTACGAGGAAGTGCACAAAACCAAGAACGGGTACTTGTTACGCGCTGTGTGGCACTGCTATTCCGAATGAGTATCAATGGCAGCTTGCAGCCAACTTCTAATGGGTTCGACTCCCAGTATCCATGTGATTGGAGTTGACAGTTTTTCCCCTTTGCTTTCGAAGCTCGTCGTGCATGAATGGTCGTTCCGGCGGAACAAATCCAGGCACTTCCCGCCGTCTGGATCTGCCTCTTGCAACTCACGATTTGGCGTGTGCCTATAATTCAGTCGCTTTGGCTGCCTGGCATCTCCCACCTCGAAAGCAGGCACACCTGACGCGTCTTAACCATAGAAATTACAGGAGACGTGGGGTGTAACCCAAGGCGGGAGCTTCATTCCACTGGAGGTGCACATCAACCGAGGTTCGACTCCTTGCCTCCGCATAGACGAACTGCGTTGGCGTTTTTGTTTCCCATCTGCTACTTTTTTGGTTCCCATCTCATACTGAAATTACGATCCTTGATCAAAGCGAATCAAAATTACTGTAATGGGTAAATTCAACCGCAAGTGACAGAGGCTGCTAGAAGTAAGTACGCCGAAAAACAGGCATCCCCTACCGCCTGTCCCATTGTCACAGTACGTGGTCGATATGTCGACTCTCCAAGCTGCATAGGTGTACGAGAGGCAATCTGGCACGAGAAATGCTGCCCGAAGGTGGTGTGCACCGTGTGGAATATTCACCCACTGAGGACAGACATCCCCCCGATGGTTGAAAGACCTACCATTGATTTTTGATACACCTGCAACCTCCTCCCGTCTGCTCCGATATACGAAACTCACATCAAAGGACACCCAGACCTGATGGTGTGTGGACAGACCTGCCTTTAAAGATCCCATGACAGAAGTCAGCATATCCAGGGGATGCAGAGCCCCCGTTCGACTCGGGATCAGGTCGTAGGAGACTGATACTTGCTTTATTTTTCTGGCTCCCATTTACATGGCCACACGGATTTGTATTCCCTGTCTTGCACCATATCACGTACCAGCGCATTCAACACTGCATTCCACCAACCATGAACATTGCCGCCATATCCCTACGATGAGTTCAGTACCGCGGATTCGCACGTTTATTCAGGGTAAATTCATCGGACATCGTGCATGCTACATGTTGGGAATGTTTATTGAAAGCAAATGTTGTCAAGCAAAGGGGTTCGACTCCCCCTGTCCGAATAGGAGTCACACCTCGCCTTTTTGGCTTTGTCTTGTATGCAGGAATTTATAATAAACCACAGGAGCGGAGCTAGTAGCAATATATGGACGGTCTCCGGGAAGAGTCCTGTTGAATAACGATTTAAATTCAATCCAGAAGATCCCATCAAACATTCAACGAAAAGTAGATAAATCCACAATTGAAGGTGGCTTACGCATAAG